CTAGCCAATAAGAAATGCTAGTAACAGGCCAACAGCATTATATCTAATACAAGGTCTCTGTGTGTTATTTGGGGCTGGTGCAGCAGTGGGACCAGGTGGCAGGGAAAACATAATCATAACAACAGCATAAAATAACAAAGGTAGTATAATCAATTTGTATTTGACTTCGGTTTAATGAAATTTAAGTTGGCAACTGGTAAGTCAAATTGCTACTTAAATTTCTTATGGTTAAGTTCTATGTTCATTAATCAAGCCATATGCATTATTTACTACACACAAAGAGCTGAGAGTGTCCTGCAGCTCAACCAGGAGATCATGGGACACATAAAATAAAATGATGAGATTCACATCAATGGATTTAGAGGCAGAGAACAAGGCATAGAATGGGCCAGTAACCATGACATCCACAATGACCATTATTCTGACTTCCCCTTGAAACCTTTAAAATGCTCACTCAGATCACAAGGCACTCCAGTACCTGTTCATCCTTTAGCTGACTATCCAAGATGAACACAGGGCCCCGGGGCCATTTCTCAACAGATATGCTCAATTTCTCATAGCTGCCGAGGAGAAGGTGGGGTGCTTTAAGGTGAGTTGAAATTGAGAGATGAGTCTCTGATCGACTTCTGGGGTTCAAACTGCTACTGTCTTTGGTATGAGGTTAGACTGTTTCAAACACTCAGCTTAAGCATTTACCAGTTTCCCCATATAGTATCTGTAGGCAGATTAAATTCCCTTTTCTTGGTTTTTTACTGAAGCACTATGAAAGAGAATTTTTTTTTCACTTTTAACAAACCAAAACTCAAATCTGGTAGTACTCTGCTTTTTAGTGATGGCTGTGGAAGAAGTCCATTCATGAACTGTTTATGCAAGAACATTATTCTCTCCTGTAGCTGAATCCTCACTCATTAGCCATTTGCTTTCCATTTTTACTATTTGTTAATGATGCACCTTAATGTTCTCTCCCTGGAGACTGAGGCCTGGCAAGATATGCTCTCTAAAAGCTAACTTGAAACCTTCCTTAACTAGTATAAAGATGATTCCATTATGAGTTTGAGAATTCAAGCTAGGGATGTGAACATTACTTTGAGAAGATATAGAGTCTGCACAATGCCTTGCTTTGGGAGCCTTTGATATCTGTGAACTCTTTCCTTACTAAGGTTTACTTCTGCACGTGTACTCTCAAGGTGGAGTCTGGGACCTTAAGTCACTTTCTCTTCACATACATGTAAATGGAGTTCTTAATTGATCTAAACAATAAAAACTTGAAGTCAGAAATAAAAGAAAATGTTGAGAGACCAGAGAAAAAGGATCAAGCCAAAGCAACCTTTTGCTCATTAGCTTCCCAGAGGAAAGGACAGTGAGTTCCTGTTTCTTCCCCACTTATATCCTTTCTCTTTTCAGCCATCTCACTTCCTATTTTCAGCCATCTCACTTCCTGTCTGTCTGTATAGACCTCCAGATCTCTATGGTTAGCTAGTGGCAAGCTACATCCTCTGGTCTTCAGACAAGCTTTATTTGTAACAAGCAAGATATGACCACACATACAATTATGACTTAGTTTCCCCAAATGGTGCTTAGAGACTCCAAGTTTTGCTGCTGCATTTCTTTATAAAATATCAGTAGAAATTCATGATAGTGCTCCCTGTTGAAGTAAGGTGGGTATATATGAAATGCTCTTATGGTGAATTACTGTCCCATAGTCTAAAAGCATCAAGTAGAGATACACCCCAAAAAGTGTGTGCTTGAGATTCATGATTATTCTCATGTTTCTACTCATATTTGTGTATCTGCAAGCTAGCAAGAATATCACCAATATTCTTGAATTCCAACCAAAGAATGCTTTACCAGTTGACACAAATTTTTATTACACACACACACACACACACACACACACACACACACACACACACACACACACACACACAAACCAAACAACAGATACACAATTCTGAAAGACAAGCAACATTTTTCTCTTCTTGTGCTGCACCCTCTACATAGGTCTCCTCAGTGTTCTTTAGCTATTCTGATGGAACATCCTGAGGCAAACTGTAGCTGTGGACTTGGGTCTTTTCTAGTAACTGTTGTAGAATTGTTGCTAGTTTCTACAATGGTTTAAAGGTCTTTCAGTACTTCTGTGCTCAGGTTTTTAATAACGTTACACACTACTACTAATTGAGTACATAATTTGCCAATAGAAAACAAAATTGTTGTCTGTAAATATGTATTTTAAGAGTTCTATTTGCAGCTCACAGCAAAACCTTTACTCATATTTGGCTACATTCAATGTTTGCTCTGGTTGCCAGTAGCATACTAGTTCAGAATAATTTTAAATATTCCTTCAAAAGGGGCCTTTGGTGTCATTTACTTTAATTCCCTCACCATATATTTAGAAAATGAGGTTCCAAGGCAATGTCTTCTAAGGCCATTACAGATCATCAGCAAATCTAGAGTCATATACAAATGAGTCACAGGGCCTCAGCTTAGTTGCTATTCAGTATCTGTTGAAGGGATGGGGAGTACAGAAGGATAGAAAGAGGGTAAAAAAGAAAATAAGAAAGTGACAAGACACTGTTTAGCATTTGTAAATTCCTGGGTTCTATTTGCAGAATGAAAGAAGAAGAAAAGAAAGAATGTCTTTTGGACACAATTATATAACTACACCTGCACACACAAACACATATGTGCATATATATAATTTCTTCCTTGATTTAATGATTACATACAGCTTTATCAAGTAAGTACAGTATTAAAGTATTAATTTTTAAACAACCATTTCCCTCTATCCCTAATGAAAGCATCTTTCTTTAGGTGTCCTGACCTTTGCTCCAGCCTCAGACCAAGGTCCTTTCCTATGAGCTGATTTTTCAGAACCACTTAGTTTCTTAAGATTGAACAGCTGAGGCCGGTCATTATGAAATTATTTCATTTACTTGCAAATGATTCTCCTTATAACACACAGCTATCCCGAGGCTTCATGTGTTATGGAACAGGCAGGCTTTGCTGTGGAATTACTGCTAGTAGGATCACTAGGGCCAGGCTTCCCACCACTGAAGCCATCAAAATCTAGTCACCTTCAGTTTGATACTGAAGACACATTAGTGAGTACTGACAGAAGCATGACACCTTAATACCATAGATACCAACATGCCTACAAAAAGCAAGCACTCTAACATTTCTAGGGTTATTTATGTTCTTAGACAGTATGGGATAACAGAGGCTGCTTTCCATCCTTCTGTGATGCTCTCTGGAAGGCAGTGCTTCCTATCTTTTGGAAGTTTAATTGTTAAAGCATTACTTATATGTATATAATTTAAAGAAGTGGATACTTTAGTCAGCTACAGTTCCACATTTACCATAGAAATCATATAGACCAAAAACAGTGAAATATATATATATTCTAGGAGAAAAGAAATAGAGGAGATCTATAACATAAGAAAAGCAGAGACAGAAAAAATTAAGGTGTGGTGGCACATGTATAATCTGGCACTTGGGAGACTGAGACAGGAGAATTCTAAATTTAAGGCCAGACTGGGCTACATACCAAGACACCATCTAAGAAAGAGACGGGAAGAGAAGAGAGGAGGAAGAGAGAAAACAGTGAAATTAGATAGCAACAAGAAAAGTTAATCCAATGTATCTAGAAAATCAACAAAATAAAAAAAACCCCACTTCTTATGATATTTTGCATACTTAAGCATGGCTACTCTAAGAGAGATCACACTCCTCAGCTGCATGAATTCCACACTGCCTACCATGCAAAACATCCCTTAGATGTAGAGATAATAAAAGCATGGGTTCGAAATCAGAAGGCCTCAATTCAAGTCCTCAGCTAATTACGTTTGGCTGATCACTTTTCTCCTTCAAGCTTTACATTCTTAATCTTTGAATTTGAGAAGGTTACCTACCTGTCTCATTGACACACCTATGTCCTGGAGTTGTGCAGGCAGTCTGCACCCTCAAGACCTGGTCAACTCTGAAGAGCATCCAGGATGAGATTGTCAGAAATAGGTTGCATGTATTCAGGCACCTTTAAGATGACTTGCTAAAGACTTCTGCCCAACAGTATCATTCTTTAACAGGTTGGCAATAAAAGATCCCAAGCTAGGCTTAAGAAACAGGGGAGTGGAGGAGGGTAATGTTGAGACACAGAGTACCTCACTTATTTTAGATTCTGTGTTAAACACATTGTAGCTATGTAATGTTAGACAAAACAACCTCTCTGTGGTTCATTTTCTTCATCTATACAATGAAGAGCAGCCTTTTTTTCATGGGGTCCTGTGAGAATCAACAGATTAGCACATATAGAGACTGTGATGAGAGTATGGTATACACCATATCATAGTTTTCTGGCTTTGGTCTTGTCTGAATGTATCAGCCCCTCTGCTATCAAGTTAGCAGGAGAGTTCTTGCTTCCTAACTTACATTCTGACAATAAATTCACTGATAAGTGTGTGAGATTTAGTAGTACATCACTGATTTAGTAACTATGAGAAGCACAGCATATAAAAGATGTGTTCTTAATCAGTCAGACAATAGTCTCAGTCAGAAATAAACAGAATACCTCATGTTTCAAAGTCTTAATCCTATAACCTACCACCTTCACTCTTAAATTAGCCACATAAAACCTATAAGGATGAATTACTCAGATACTGTACACAAGGACCCCACCCAAGGGGTTTATGTCTAGTGTACACTTACCAAGAGGTGACTACACATTACCAGTCCCCTGAAAGTGATATCTAACGAGAAGGCTGCATGCCTCTTCTACTGACATGCTCTGTACAGACAACCTGAGTATACTACATCTCAGCAATCAAGGTACAAACACATCTTGTGAGGAGAATGTACTGCCTGGGAGTATGCATCATGCAGAGAACATGAGTGCACAGATTACCAGTATTCACAGATGTATCCCCTCCCAAGCCTGCTATTGATAGGACAAAGCTTACAGAGTCCACTCAAGGCTATGTCAGACCATGCAGGGCTACAGGACATACCTGGCTGCTTCTGACGTGGTTTAGGTAAATTTGTGACACAGGTGTGTGGACACATCAGGACATTGCAGGGGTGGAGGGAACCCTCCAGGAAAAGCTGCTTTGTTTCTGACAGATGGATGCCACCAAGTGGTGTTTTGGGAAGAGTATTTGCTGGTACCAAGGCTAGGCAATAAACTCCAACTTGATGTATACTGTCAATTGCCTGAAAAATAAGAAAGTCACAGTAATATTTAAATAGGATCTATAAACAGAAATAGTACAACAAAGTGTATTACTTAGGTTTTTTTGTTTGTGTATGGGGGTACAGAAATGTGTGTGTGTGTACATGTATATATAAGTGTGTGGAAGCCAGAGGACAACCACTTGTGTTGGTTTTTAAGTACTGCCTACTTTTATTCATTTATCTTGTTGAAGAAAGGGTCTCTTAGTGGTCCAGAATTTGACAATTAGACTAGGCTGACTGGACGGTGTGACCCAAGGATCTGCTTATCTCTGCCTTTCCATCAATATGATCACTAGACCACACCACTGTGCCTGGCTTTTTTACATGGCATCTGGGATTGAGCTCAGGTCTTTATGCATGCACAGCAAGTACTTGACCCACTCCTTATCTCCTTATCCTCTCCATTTTGAGTTCTTATTTTTTTATTTGAATAGAGACATAGCCACACACACTATAGCCCAGGCTGATCTTTAACTAGTGTCAATCCTCCTGTGTCAGCCTCTGAAATGCTGGAATTACAGTAATGAGTCAATATACCTAGCCTTTGAAAATAACTGCATGCACAATAACCTTGTCTATACAAATGTCCAAAAAGGAAAAATTAGTCACAAAAGAAGAATTCATTTTCTATAATGGAGTCTTACTTGGTATATGAACTATATTTAATGGTAAGGCCCCCATGGCCAGCAATAGATAGCTAACACAAAATGAACTCAATGGTATTTTTGGAGGGTTTTGTCTTATAATGCTTTGCAAAAAGGTCTTTTGCTTATGTATTATACTTTCCAATTTTGTGTTTTTTTGAGATTTTAGTGTATAAGTGAGTGTATCTTTGTCTGTATGCATTTTTTTTTTTTTTTTTTTTTTTTTTGGCTTCCATTTGTTTTTGTCCTTGTCAGTCTCTGTCGCTGTCAAGCTCTCCCTCTCCTTATATGTGTGTATGTGTGCTTGTGTTCAGTTGCCTGCTTTTTAATGAGAGAAACAAGGGATGTGGATTTGGGTGTGTGGGGAGGTAAGAGGATCTTGGAAAATCTGTGGGAGGGAGAATCGTAATCAGAATATACTTTATGAAAAAAAAAAAGAAATCTATTTTCAATAAAAATTTAAATTATAAAAAACCCACTATCTATTACATACAAGATATATTACAAAAGTATGCATGGTATGGACAGTGCTCTGGGTGTACAAAAGCCAAAGAAGAAATGGTGTTCTCACTACAATAAAAAGGTTGCATAATTTCACAGAGGGCAATTGGAAAGCCATATATAATTAAAGGGGGAGGGTCTGGAGAAAAGAGCATATATTATTATGATTGTAACAACCTGTTTGTTGTCCTCCAATGTAACTACTAAGAAGCAGTTTTGTAGTTCTTGACTTCTGCCCATGATCAGTTCAGTTTATTTCTGGAGACTGCATAGAATTTCTAACCAGACAGTTTAAACAACAGAATATGGACATGTGGGCAAAGGAATGGCTGACAAAGGTTGAGCCACAATCCCTCGGTGAATCAGAAAAGCAGGAACTACTTGAAAGCTTCAAGACACAGCCATATTACCTGGAGTACTCTGCTCATCCACTGAAAACTGTCTTCCTCTGTGGAGTCTGGCCTCTGCTCGGCCACAATCACTATCCTTTCATCATGAAGGACAGTCACAGAGAACACAGCTATCCTGTAGAGACAAAGGGAACCTATGGTGAGTACAGGACAGAGACCTGCTTCCAAGGACTCCAAGAACTCCTACAGCATTAAGGATTTTAAGCAAGATTAATCACACAAATCTTAGGATTCCTTCACTAATGCAGACTAGTCCCAGACTCCCATACATGACCTAATGTTATAAAAATTTGGGGGTGAGGGGGAAACAATGTACACCTAACACTAGGATGCTGTTTGTCATCTCCTTAAGGGTTGGAGATGAGATTAAAGGTGTACCCAATATGCAGTCAAAAATAGGTACAGATGAAGCCCAACATAAAATAGTAAACAAACTTATAGTCATGTGACTTTTTTTCACATGAATTTTTTTTTTTTAAAGTAGGGGATAACTCAACTGTGTAGTTGCCTAAATTGGCTATTACTGGAGAATGAGTTTACATATGATTAGCGGAATGTCTAGTATTTGGAGACCAGTATCAGTCTTTCTTGAGTTTGGAACTGTAAAGGAGTCCTTTCCCTAGCAGTAGAAAAGTTTGTTTGCAGCTAATGATACTTTGCTCAAATTTTCATGTTTTGATTGGTCAGCATACAATTTCAGCAACTGAACACACACCTCCCCTTTCAAAAAGAGGTTCTCTGTTGTAGAGTATTTACTTACATTGTAAAAATGTGTTTCTGCCTGAAACAGCTGACCTGAACAAGGGGGAGTTCATGGACCCCAGACTGAAAGCTGGGAAACCAGCACAGGACAGACCTAGACCCCCTAAATGTGGGTCTGTTATGAGGCCCTGGGCAGTCTATGGGGCCTCTGACAGTGGAACCAGGCTGTATCCCTGGTGCATGAAAGGACTTCCGGAGCACATTTCCCATGGAGTGATACTCCCTTAGCCTAGAAACATGATGGAAGGCCTAGGCCGTATCCCAAATGACTTGAGAGATTTTGATGATCACTTCTGGAAGCTCTCACTCTCCCTGCAGAGTAGATGGAAGTTGGGATGGGGGCATTGGGGGAATATGGGAGGATAGGAGGGAGAGGGAACTGGGATCAATATGTAAAGTAAGAAAAAAATAAAAAAAAATAAAAATTAAAAAGAATGTTCCTGACTAAGGTACCTTCCGATTGGTTTAATAAAGACCTAAATGGCCAATAGCTAAGCAGGAGAGATAGGTGAGACTTCCAGACAGAGAAAAGAAAAGAGGTGAATCCAGGCATTTGAGAGACATCAGCCAAATGTGGAGCCAGCCAGATGTGGAATAAATAAAGACACACCGAATGGGATTAAGATAAAAACCAAGTAGTAGAATGTAGATTAATAAAAATATGGGTTAATTTAAGTTATAAGAGGTAGTTGAAAAGAAGCCCAGGCCAGAGTCCAAACTTTCATAATTAATAATAAGTCTCAATGTCATCACTTGAGAGCTGGATGGAGAGACAGAGAAAGACTCCTTATACATGGCAGTATCCCATATATATCCCATTGGATATGGCATGTCTGATGTAGGGGCATGTATTTCCACATAGAACCTGAGAAAACTTAAAAAAAAAAATTGACACGTGCAAACACAAAGCCAGATGTGGCTTTCTAGTCCCGCAGCCTCTCAGGCAGGCCACTGCATACACATATGCATCTTCCTGTCATTGCCCATGGGCTTGAGTCAACCAGCACCATGTGCTGAGAGCCTTGCAGCTGATTTAAGGTTTGGCCCACATGGTCAGAGAAGGGTAAAGGTGTGCAGTGAAGCAGTCCAGACTGAGAAATAAGCAGATAAAGTAAAAAGTGGGTATAAACAGTCATAGAAAATATTTTAAAAATAATAAGTCTTGAAAGATAAGTAATAAAAAAAATAATAAACCATGTAAAGATGGGAAATTCAGTGTGTCTGAATCCTATATGGTACTTTGTTGACTTTGAATGTTTTAAAACATTTAAAAGCAATAGCTGCTGAGAGACATTGGAGTATGGAAACTGCTAAGATAAACTAACGTATATATTTTATAGTTTAAGATGTCTTAACTTCAAAATGGAAGTCAGAAAATGTGTTGTGGGAGAGGTTATGCCTTTGTTTCCACAGGAAACAAAAAGTTATGGATTTTTCATATAAATGAAGATCAGATTTGATTGGGAGAGACCTCCTGAAAATTTTGGCTACAGACATAAAAGAAGAAACCAAGAGAAGACTACAGAACAGATGTCTTATATGTTGACCTATCTCCTATGGGAACATCTCTAATACTGGATGAGAAATGATAAATATTATTGGCTACAGAGTCCTCATGACTTATTATTACATGCTATCCTTTCATATGGCATGGACAGTGGTTTGGTTATACAGCCCAAAGTCAAAAACTGACTTGTATACACTGTACATTCCATACTTCTGTTAGTGCAGCTATATGTGTTACCTTTAAAAGTTTACATGATTTCAGAAAAAAACAGACCAGACACCAATAAATACAAGTAGTCAGGTAATCCAGTCTCTCAGAACACCTCTGTTGCAGTTTGCTCAAAATTCTGCATCCAGAACAACTTGAAAGCTGCTAGTTGAAGATGGTTCAGCCTCACAGACTATCCAGCCAAGATTTCAGATACGTTCTACACTTTCCCATCATACTAAACAAAAAAATAATACAGCTAGGAGTTGACCATTATCCTAATTTTCTCAGGATCTACCACACAGACAACATGAAGCAGTCTAAAGAACATGACACCACATTCCCAAGAGGTGAAGAGGGAGGTTTTTGGCTATTCAGTGGATTATGGATGTTTGTCATAATTTAGGCAAGTTTGTGCCTAGTCTTATAACTTCTTAAGCCTTGTTTGGTTGATATCCCTGGGAGGCCTGCTTTTCTTCCTTCCTTCCTTTTGAAGAGAATTGGAGGAGGAGGAGTAGGTATGAAGGAGAGGAGAGGTGATGGGGGGCTGGGATGAGTAGAAGGAAACTGCAGTTGGGATATAATGTATGAGAGAAGAAGAAAAGAAAAAAATAAAAGGCAGCAGCAGCAAAGCCAACAAGCAGCACTCCTCCACAGCCTCTGTATCAGATCCTGCTTACAGGTTCTTGCTCTGCTTGACTTCTTGTCCTGATTTCCATCAATGATGAACAATAATGTGAAAGATTGAGTCAAATAAACTCTTTCATCTTCAAATTGCTTTTCATCATGGTGTTTCATCACAGTAATAGTAACTAACTAGGAAAACCAATTATACCAAATTAAGTATTTAATTAGCACATAAGTACACTAACCTTCCTCTGTAGACAAACTTCATGGGCTCTACAGCCAAGGCTGTGGCTACGATGTCATCAGCATTGTGTCTTCGTCCACTGACTACCATCAGACCATCCATCTTACCCACTACAAAGACAAGGCCTCCAGGACCAACAAATCCAAGCAAACCTGTCCTTATGAATGGGTATTCACTGATCGGAGCACCAGAGCTCGTCATGGGAAATACCTAAGGGAACAAAGCAATAATTAGGCCAACTCCAAGGGTTAGCAGGTTCTACAATCTTATCCCTTCTCTAGAGAGAGACTAAATTTACTTCCCTACCTTTAATAACTCTGTCAACATGAGGTCATGGTGACTCTGTTTGACAGTCTACAAACATGGTATGATATTTAATCATTGTGGTGAGTAAGACTGGATTTTGAATCACCTAGGAGACACACTCTGGTCATACCAGAGAGCTCTACCTGAGGGAAGACCTAATCTGGATGTGGGTGACTCTATTCCATGGGTTGAGGGCTTAGACTGAATACAAAGGAAGCTATGTGCCAATAATCATCACTTCCTGCTTTTTTTTTACCTTGGGTGTAATTAGATAACTTATCTCACATTCCTGCCACCATGGCTTCCCCACCATGATGGATTACACTCTCAAACTATAAACAAAACACTCTTGCCCTGATGTGGCTTTTGTCAGGTAGTTATAGGCAGGTCAAAAGTAACTAATGCACATGGACACATATTTTCCTTTTCATTTTCAATGCAAGCTCAGCAAAGTTCTGTTGTTTCTGCATGTCTGGGTTATGTGCATGGGCTACAGGAAGTTCTTCTTACAGTTTCTGAGCATCCAGACAGGCAGCAAACAGAAATCACTGCGCTATGATTAAGATACCAGGTGAAAATGATTAATGGAGACTCAAGGTACATTTTTAAGTAACATATATTGGCAGTAGCTGATCCTATCATTAAAATGTTACTTTTCCTTATTGAAAGCACGCTAAAAAGGAAAATGTAGAGAAAGCATAGCTAGTAAAAAATACAAATCTTGTTTCCTTCAACCTTGAAGATAATCACATAGAAAATGAAAGTTTTACTTAGATCATACACTCATCTGTAGTTTCAGAATTTTTAGAGATTTGAGTTTATATTCACATGTATGTTCACTCTGAGATCGAACATTTAGGAATGAATAATCTGCTCTACTCATGAATCAGTGAAATATTGTGTCAATCCTAAGACTAGATACCATATGAGAAAAAGAAGTTCTAAGAATACTGTGGTACAGGACAAGACACCTAAACCTGTGAACTTAATTCCTTTGACATCTCTGTTCACTGTGTTCACCACCTATACAAAGCAGGTTATGTGACTGTGTACAGCAGTCACATATGAGTATGCCACACACTTCATACATATCTCACACAACACATAGACACACACTAATGTAAATCTATACCCATGATCTGTCACCATATACCTTACATACTCACTGTATTAATGAAATTATATTTAATGTGCACATTTGTTCAGGTTCTCCTAAGTTCACATCTAGATAAGTCTTCTATGCTACAAGACTGTGTAGAACAGCCAGCTGACTTCCTGAGTGAGGACATTTACCCACACACTTATGCACATATTCTCCTATCACATATGTTCTTTATTATCACTTGTCAGCTGAGAAAAACAACAAACAAAAACCCCATTTTAAAGAACTGTTTATTCTTCCTGGACACTGGCTAAAAGGTCAAAATGATGCTGCTAACTCAATTATCATACAAAAATATAGTATGAAAATAGCTACCAATTTAATATGAATGCTCTTTTGCAAAGTCATCATCTTAGTAGGTTTCTTGTCTGTTTCTGAACACCTGGCAAAGCTGTTAAGAGGCCAGAACCAGAGAATGAACTGAGGAAAGGAATTTCTCCAACAACCTACCTCAAAGGTGTTTTTGGTCATGCCAGAAAGACCATAATATGATGTTCCTGTGGCCACTGCACAAACACAGAGCTCCCCAATTTCATCTGTCCTGCACAACTGAGGAATCCCATCTGGCTTCACTGAACACATGATAGCTAAAGGCAAAGTGAAAAAGCACAAGGAGAACATGAGCAAAAATGAGGCAAACTAATAACTCCATGAATACCAACGGGGGAACAAATAAACAGAAATACCACCTTGAATAAAATTCCAATTATGTCCAGGTGCTCATTTTCTCTAAGTGTTGTAAATTCTCATGTTGTAGCAAATTGTCAGATTTCATTATTATATCAATTACTTTAATTTTAATATAAAATTATACTTAAAGAGAAATGCCATGTGCCATTTGTGTATGAGATGATATTTAGAGACCTGTCACAGTCATTCACTAGACATGTACCAGAAGAATAGGTAAAAGTTCCAAAGCATATCTTCATTCCTGCAAATGAACCAGCACAGGTATCTCTGTTCTCATGTTTTCCATTGCTTCTTTAGGTTGAAAGCATAATTTACAGCCTCCAGTGTCCTACATAAATCTTTGGTTTTGGTTTAAATGACCTGTTGAACATAATCCTTCAGAGAATACCATTTAATATTTTGGCACTCAGTCTGTGTGTTCATACACACTCATATCAAGGCTGGAAGTAGAATATCCTATCTTTTCTGCTCACTCTTCCACCTTATTTATTTATTTATTTATTTATTTATTTATTTATTTATTTATTTATGAAGCATGGTCTCTTATTGAACCTGGAGCTCATTATTTCAGCTATGTTATCTGGCCAGTGAGCTCCATGGGTTTACTTGTTCCTACCTTCAACATCTCCCTGCACCTGGATTATACTGCTGTGGCAGATTTTTAAAGAGGTTTTGGGGATGCAAACTCTGATCACAGTAAGCACTTTGCCAACTGAGCCCTTCCCTCTTCAGCCTTTTAAGTACACATTTGACAATGCTAAATTTTCTTTAAGTTGTGACTCACACACTTACTTGATGTCTATGTGACTCCAACATCCTACCTACCATCATCCTACGATAAGCCTGACTAGGGAAACGGGACTACTGTCTTGGGCAAGTGATGTTTATAGCCAGTGACAGTTGAGTGTCAGCCAATTCTACAACCTCCAGAGGCTGGCATTACATCTAAGAAATAGAATTAAAAAAAAAAAAAAACATGAAAAGCTAAACTGACTCATAAATAGAAAAATATACATCCAAACTACATAAAAAAGCAGAGTAAATTAGTAAGTGAGTTCAAGGTCAGTCTAGTGAAGTTAGTAAAACATTGCCTTAAAGTAAAATATACAGGAAAGGGCCAGACACAGTGGCACAGACCTTTAATGCCAACACTCAAGTGGCAGAGGCAGGCGAATCTCTGCAAATTCAAAGCCAGCCTAGTCTACATAGAGTTTCAGGGCATCAAGGGCTATGTAGAAATACCTCATCTGTCTCAAGAAATAAAACAAAACACAAAAAATGTACTAGAAAGGCTTGGGAGACAGCTCAATGGTAGCATGCTAGCCTAATGTGAGGGTGTGGATTCAATTTCTAGTAGCAGAAACCACAATAAACAAAAACCAAAAGTAGACCAAAATGTTTTATCAGACTAGAAAACATCAAGATGGGAAAGGCAGAAAGAAAGTGGGATTAGCACACATCACTGCCAGGAGTATGAGTTCTTACAAGCTTTCTGGTAACAATTGAATATGATCAAAATTATGTGGGCATGCTGCCCTTGAAGCAGACACAAGACCTACAACTAAGATTGAGTCAGCCAAAATCCCAGCATGGATAGGGGAAGAGGTTTATAAAGTTCTACCCCTAGAGCTGAGAAGCTACTGGTAACCAATGGCGATGCAGGGGGAAGAGGAGGTTTTTCTTCAAGAATAGTCACTGAATGGCTGCTCATGATGACCCTATACCCATGTACATACAGGCAGCACTAAGTAGACTCAGCAGGTTTAAAAAGAGGTAACTGGAAAAATGACTCAGTAATAAGAGCACTAGCTACTCTTACAGATGACCCAGATTTGGTTCTCTGTTCTCACATGGTGGTTCACAACCATCTGAAACTACAAGGGACCCAATATCTACTTTTAGCTTCCCTGGGCACCAAGCATACATATGGTAGACAGACACACATGCAGGTAAAACCCTCATACACATACAAAAATTTAAAGAGAAAGAGCATATGAAGTTGGAAGTAAAGTGGGAGGGGGAGAGAATTGGGGGCATATGACGGAATTGCAGAGAAAGGAATGGGGGTAGATTTCATCAAAAACAGCTTATGTAAGCATGAAATTCTTAATAATGAAAAAGAAACACTTAATTTCTGAGAATTTTTTCATTATATTCCTATACCCTTGTAGAGTAAAGCTTAGATGTAGTCCTTCACATCAGAATACAACAGGGTACAACTCCAACTGTGGAAGGTATATATTGTGCATTCAAACTGTGCAATACTGCACTGCATGCAAAGAAGTAGACTGTTTATGTGCTAACAAATGAACATAAGACAGAAAACGTGGTGGTACTATATCCTATAATTGCATTTAAAAAGCCCAAATCCAAGAAAGACAATATACAAGTAGACATAGATGTGGGCTGTGTTTCTTTGATATAATACTATACTATGAAGTATTTCTGAGTAGAAATTTCTGAAAAGAAGCCTGTGATGCTGTAGGTACTTGAGTGAACAAAACAATTTTTCATTGTTATGCCACCTGAATCTTTTGATGCCTCAGCGTGGGAATCTATTTGTTTAAAAACTAGTTTGCTTGATTTTGTAAAGAAATAAAGCAACAGAGCTAGATGGTCTGGCTAATCCTGGGAAGAGGGCAATGAGTCTGAGACAGCCTGAATTTGGAGTTTAGAGTCCTAAGTTGCTCTGACTCTAAAAGAGCTTTCATGAGAGCAGGTTGAATGGAAACAGTTAGAAAGCTATAAAGAATTAGAAGCACAAAAGCCAGGCTTTATTTCTGTTATACTTTGAACTAGCCAAAAGACCATCCCTTATAGAAAGGCAGTGTGAAAAATCTATCTCTCTGTGAATCCATGAGGGCAATGTGGCCTTTTATCCACTAGGTTTTGACCCAGTACTCAGATTGCATCCTGATCCCATGAGAAGCTAATTGGCTATATGCAGTTATGTAGTATAACTAGACATATAACAATGAGTGCTTTCATGGTCTTGTCACTCTATTGTGTGAAGGAGCATGGAGGGACTTCAAAGAAGGAGGCCTAGATTCTGCGCAGGAACTCTGAGACAGAAATGTGGCTCCATGCTGGAAGACAGAAATTGAAGACAAAAATGCTGATGTGTGGCCCTGTGAAACAGGAATCAGGAACAATATTCAACAAATAAGAACATGGGCCATAATCTAGTATGTGGCTCAGAAGCACCAAAGCACATTATATGAGGGGCTGGAGGGACTAGATAGGAAGGCGAGGATATGACACAGTATTATCTCTTCAGTCAAGTTACTCGTTATACTGCTTTCATGCTAAACAGTAGATTCACAAATAACAAAAACTCTTCCTCAGGTTTCATATATACTGCTCAAAGCCTTCCATAAGGCTGAGCTTTAGAGTCCAGCTTGGGCTGAGTCAGGATGGTTGAAGAGGGGGTGTGAGTTGCAAAAAAAGATAGCAGCTAAGGACCAGTGTAGGGGTACAGAGTCAGTCCATAATGCCTTCCTGGAGAAAAGGGTTCCAGAGGATAGATTTCCTTCATCTATGAATATTTTTTATTTTATTTTCTTGGGAGAGAGAATATTGCTTTTGGTGTCTGAAGATCAATCAGAAACATCCAAATATTAGGAGTTCCAGTGTTGAACCCAAGATATCATATAAAGGGAAATGGATGGAAAGGAAGAGAAGATGCTAACCTTTGTTCAAAAAGCATATACCAACTGATGAATCAGGAGGCCATGCTAGGACTGCCTACTTCATACCTGTGCTGGCTGGTTTTATGCCAACTTGACATAAGCTACAGTCATCTGAAAGGAGGGAACCTCAATTAAGATGTCTCAGTAAGATTCAGCTGTTGGCAAGTCGGCAGGGCATTTTCTGAATCATTGATTGATGTGGGAGGGCCCAGCCCATTGTGGGTAGAGCACCTCTAGGCTGGTGGTCCTGGTTTCTATAAGAAAGCAGATATAGTAAGCCTAAGGGAGCAAGACAATAGGCAGCAATCTCCTTAGCTTCTCTGTATCAGTTCCTGACTCCAGTTTCCTGCCCTGTTTGAGTTCCTGCCTTGGCTTCCCTAATGAAATGTAACCCAGAATTGATAAACCAAATAAAACCTTTCATTCCCAAGCTGTGTATAGTATGTTTTATTGCAACGGTAAAAACTCAAACTAAGCACTTCAGAGCTGTACTCACCTCCAGGCATGACAAGGCCAACATCCTGCACTGTGAGCACCGACAGCTTCTCCTCTGAATCCACTCGGATCACACCATAGGTCAGCCCATGCATGGATAGCACACCCCGCCCTGGTGGCTGGTTGCTGTCATCTGTGGGCCTAAAAGGGTAGTTTTAGCTGAGTATGTGCAAGAAAACAAACCATTCTACTTTTAGATGTGCACATCTTCACATACACATGTACACATATAGTCAGGTATGAATAGGGATCTTCTGGAGAGGAGCTGGCTACCATCTGTGCCAGCACTGAGGAGCACTTGCCTCCTGTTTACTCAGTATTGGTTCTATCCAGGAGTTGATCCCAGAGTTCTCAGGCTAACTAGAAATGCCTTAGAATGTGAAGGTAGTACTAGATCCTCTACCCTCCTCACATTCCCTCAGGATACTGGTCATAATAGATAAACTCACTGATTCATGATGTCCTTTCTGCTCTTTGTGAGGTCTGGTTTCCAAGTTTTGTAAATGGTGAACAAGAGAGAAAAACAATTCTAAGCAATATACATAAACTCAGAGAACAGAAAAGGTGGGCATCCTGGCTGGTCAGCCTCAGTTCAGTCAGATGTATGCTGTCTAAACTTAATCAATTTCATATGCAAGAATCCAAGCTGGGTAGGACAATTACTTAGATGACAGGTATGCTGTAAAAAAACACTTTATGGTTTAGAAAGTATGGATTTTAGACAAGGCACAGTTCTGAAATGATGACCATGTCTGTTTTTTCCCCTGTTGCCAGCAGACTCTAAGAACTAAAACATCTGTAACTCCCCGGTCTTCAAACAGCTCTCTCTAAGACCCAAGCTCTTACCCACTGTGGGGTTTCTCATTGTTTTCTTCCTTTGGAACATTCCTTCAGAGGTTTTCTTAATTATGAGACTAGAATTAACTAGTCTAATAAAAATGTATTTGTCTACCACTCTCATTTCCAGAGCCTTGAGCATGTGATTATGTGTAAGCCTTACTCCATCAAACTCTGCCATTCCCAAGAACAAGCAGGCAGGTTATTCATTTCTGCATTCTATCTACTCTTGGAACCGTACCTAGCAATAAAAACCTATTGATGAATAAGTGTGCTAAAGAAAAAGTTCAAGATTATAGACTTCAGCAATTAAAGATTTATGTCTACTAAGTGAAAGATCACCATTTTGGTAATCCCATTTTTTTTCTATAATTCCCCCCCCCCTTTTTTTTTTTTTACTATATTTTATTGTGTATGTATGGGGTCATGTGTGTGCTATGACATTCTCCCACTGTGTGGATTGCAGAGATTAAACTTGGGGGGGGGGGTTAGGATTAATGACAAGTATCTCTACCTACCGAACCTACCTACCTCATGGGCCCTGCTTCTATAATTTTCCATGGGAAAAATCTTTAAAGGGGCCTTAAAATCTCTACATTTGTCTATAAACGTGAGTTTATGGTTGGACATTAGAATACTGTGAAGGTTTATCAAGAAGCTAAAGAAGTAAAAGTTAAAATATGGGATAGCATAAAAGTTAAAAATTGCAAAAGAAGCTCTTACGTGTATCAAGTAGTTGGATGTTAAAAAATACAAAAGTGTCAGGAAATGTAATTATTCTATTTATAAGAATTAATAAGAGGGAAAAAGGATTTCTATTTTTGTTTCCACAGAAAATGAAAAGATGTGGATTCCTTCTAGACTAATGTGGTTTGATCAAGCCAGACCACCTGAAACAGAGTACCAGGTGATCCTACATTCAAAACAGCTGGACAAAGCAGCCTGACAGACTACAGCCAGGATTTCTAAATCTTCTTCGAATCCCCCATGACAGCGCCCCTTACCAGCAGGAAGTACTTTGGAAAGAACAATGCCCAAATTCCCAAATATTGTCTATAAATGTTTGTTTTCATTTAAAAGGACTATCATCCTTTTCCTACCCCATGACAACACTCCACAAAGATTTCATGTGCAAGCCAGGAATTAAAAGCCATAGGACTAAAACTGAGGAAGTAGTTCAGTTGGAACATTGCTTGCCTAGACCACACAATCTGTAGCTCTGCATAAGTTGGGTGCCATGGCATATGCTTTCAATCTCAGTACTTGGGAGGTAGAGGCAGGAGAAAAAGGAATTCAAATCCATCCTTGGCTACATATACCAAGTCCAAGACCAGCCTAGGATACATAAGACTCAGCCCCAACAATAAAAGAACAACAAAATTCCTTAGAGCTGGCTGTGAGCTAAATTGTTTGCCCTCAAGGACAATCCTCCTGGTACCTATGCTAACTTTATTTAGAAACAGAACCTTCCCATACTCAACAATATAGGATTATAATACCTAAGTGTAGACCTTAAATTTAATTACAGATGTCTTCAGGATATTCAAAGAAACATAGGCAAAGCTGAATGTCTAATGAAGACAGAAGCAGAATACACTAACACACAAGTGAAAGGATGCCCTGGCTATTGGCTACTTCCAGCAACTGTAGGTAGACCTATGACAGATGCACTCCAAGGTCCTTGAAGGAACAGTTGACTTTGGGTTTCTGATTCCAGGGGGAGAGAATCATCTCATTTTTTTTTTTAAATAAAGACAGCCAGCTACACTTCTTTGTTATGACAGCCTAAGATACTAACATACTCTTAGAAATAAAAGGGAGAGGATTACATAGAAGCCAACATGGTAGCATACTTTTAAGGTCCAACAATATGTGGTTTATTACCTTAGTTGCAATATTATTAAGTTATAACTGATTCAGAAGTGATTAATACTAACTTTACTTTAACACAGTCCACTATCACTTACTATATATAATAGATTCCCTTGCTTGGCAGAGGAAAAGTTCCCAGAGTTTTCTTCCTTACAGACTTACAAAATGGCGTATGAAAAGGGACTAGGAGACCAGGAGGAGAGGGGAAGTAGGGGGAGGAGATTCAAGATGGTGGATTGAGAGAGAATAATGGCGGGGCCTTTCTCCGGTAAGATAAGACCACGTGGAAATACTTAGATTAATAGAAATGGGTTAATAATTAAGACAGAGCTAGCCAATAAACAATGATAATAACAGGCCAACAGCTTTATATCTAATACAGCATCTCTGTGTCTTATTTGGGACTGGAAAGGTGGTGGGACTAGACTGGCAGGGAAAACCTACTCATAACATAATGGCGCCAAACATGGACCTGAGAACTTCCACTTAAAACTTAACAAAAGCTTAAAAAATAGTTTTGGAAACAAAAGAACGGAGAGAAGCAAGGCTTCTTGGTAGCAGCATTTTCTGGGTTATCCTCTGTTTTGCTAGAGACAAGCAGAGACTTGTGCAGCTCCTTTAAGGGAGGTTTCCTGACTCAGCAAAAGGGGCAAAACCCCACACAGCTTTTAAAGAGCTCTGCTAACAACTAAATGATATGTATGAGAGTTGGCAATGGCAGTGACCACATCTTCAAGCTGGCAACATGCTGCTGGATGGCAGCATAGACCAAAGCAGTGAGCACAGCTCTCAGTTCTGGCAGTAAAAGTACCCGCCCGCCATCTTGGACAGTCCGAGGCTAATACAGCTGTGGCTTTCATTTTAGCAATGTTGTTGTTTACCAGATAAAAGACTTGTGAACACAAAAAGATAAAGATTTACATTAAAGACAGATTAACATTAAGAAAAACCGCTCAAGTTTTACAGTGTATTTTAAAACATATTTAGGCTTAGGAGAGAAAAAAAGAATAAAATGGTTTTTTAAAAGACAGGGTTAATTCCAACACTGGAGAGACAGAGGCAAATAGATCTCTGTGATTTCAAAGTAAACCTGGTATACAGAGTTAATTCCAGGACAGATAAAAGTTACACAAAGAAACCCTGTCTCAAAAATGAAAAAATAGTAGTAGAACAAATAGAGTAATAAAAAAGCCACATAAAGCAGGAAATATATGTGTAAGATACATATGTAGTCAGATAATGAAATAAGTATCTATACTTAAAATTTTAAGGAATCCTAAAAGCATTTCGAAAAGAATATATGACCTTGCTTTCCCTCTAACAGAATGGAATACACTAGCATTTTCTTATTGGTTAGACCTGTATGCAGCACTGGATGAATACAGTTTTACTTATATGTATTCATATATTTCTTTTACAGTAACCCTGTGCAGAAATGAGGAGAGGTTATTTTTAGATCATGACCATAGCTCAAGTATCAAATGCATGTAGCCTCAAGAATGTGTATCTTACTAGTGTCTCACCATTAATTTTATTTACTAAATTGATAAAAGCAGCATTTAGCTTCCTTGTTTCAGTTGTGTTTCTTGATGATTATATTAGGCTTGTTTTTATAATTTGTTATTATGATGAGTACCTTAACTTTGTCAACTTAAGAGAGGAAAGGTTTATTTTGGCTCATAGTTCCAGAGGGAATACTGTACATTATGCTGTAGAAGGCATGGTGGCAGTAGTATAAGGCTGGTTGGTTGCTTTTCATCAGTAGTCCAGAAACAGAGTGAACAAACAGGAAGGGAAGTCAGAATATGAAACTCCTAGGCCTACCCTCAGTAACTTAATTCCTTCAGCAAGGCTCCACTTTCTAATAATTCCATTACATTCTTGAACAACACCACTAATTGGGGACCAAGTGTTCAAATGCATGGGGCCAGTTCACATTCAAATCACATGGATTAATAAATGAGTTATATCTTTTTCTATCACTTAGTATTCAAGGAAATAACAATACTCCAAGGAGATAAAAAGAGATGGCTAAATGGAAAAAAAAGTAGTGCTGATAAGCAGAATCCAGACAGATTCAAAACACTTACTGCAATAATCAATATGAACAAAGTGAACAATAGCTGATAAAGACAGAGACCCATTTTTCAACCTTCAGACTCAGCTCAAAAATGGCAGAATATTCTCAGGACTGCAGCAGTGCATGCCTACAAAGAACAAGCTTCAAAAAGAGTGAGTTCAGCAATTTCTAGGAATGTTAAAAGGTTTCTCTATCTAGAAGTATGGAAGGAGGAAAATACGCAGCTATGCATTGTACACTATGGTGCAATAATGTATAAAAAGCAACTTAAAAGAAACAGAAAGTAGCGTTTCAACCTTGGCAATAAGAAATAAGAAATATGCTCTAAGGTAAATGACTTCAATCTGTGTAT